CTGCGCAGTATCATCCTCAGTGTGCACCCTTCTCAGTTCAACACGCGCTCGGCACCGACTTTGGCACGTGCTCGTTTGGTATGTCCACCTTTGCCGTCGAGCCACTGCACGAACGACCGAGCACATCACAAGGATCCCAGCAAGGCCGACCCGGTCTGAGCCTCAGTTCGAGCGGCCGAGGCCACCGCGGTCTCAGAACGGTCGGCGCGGCCGAGTCGGAAAGGTCCGACCTGCATGCGCAGGACTGCTGTGGGGCATGGCGACCGGGGCCCCCTGGCGGCGCCTCCAGGCGCCGCCCCTGGCGCGCTCCGCGCGCCAGGGAGGGGGGACCAGCGCCGATACGAGAAGTCCGCGCGGACCTCCCAGTTTTTATGTCTATGTCGTTGTTCGTTTCCCTCCTCCCGCCTCCGACTCCTCGTCCTCCTCTCAAGAGCGAAAGAAGAACGTACACGTGCATGAATCCGCATTGGTTTCGAGAGTGCGCATTGCACGAGTGTTCGCATCGCGCGGCCGATCTCGCGGATCGAGTGGACGTGTTCATGTACATGGTTGGGCGCGCGCGTCCTTTCTGGGCTCCCTATCCTCGCCCGCTCGCTCGATGGGCGCGTCATGCCAGATGGTCTCTTGCGTTCCCTGCGGTCCGGCGCCACCAGGTGGCGAGGGCGGCTGCGGGGGCCGGCGCAGCCAGGCGCATCTGCGTATTCCTTGTCGTGCTTTGTCCATGTCCTCCATGTTTCCTCACCCCCCTCGAAAGCATCCACCGGTCGTTGAAAGTCGGTATTTCTGGATCTCCACCTTCCAATCTACTCTGTGCGCCCTCCTGCTTCAGTGGTCGCGCGGCTTCCCCTTCTCCGTCCTCCTTTTGGGGGCGGGCGGACACCCACTCTACTCTTCATGGTTCTGCCTACTTCATGGTTCTACCTACTTCATGGTTCTACCTACTTTATGCGCCTTCCTACTTCATGGTTCTACCTACTTTTTCCGACCGATGGGTATTTCCTCACCTCCTCAAAAGTAACAGAAGGCGCCGTCTATGCGCTTCGCCCTGGTGATGGTATGCACAATGGCAGCGACGAACGGCATGAGACGATTCCACGCGAAGTTCAGTGGCAAAAACAGTGAGGACTTGTGGCTTGAACATGATACGGCACTGTGCTTACGATGTTGCAGATGTTGAGCGACTTGCCTGTGGCAGGGGGTATGAGGAGGGGAAAGGGAGCAAGGAAGTGAGCGTCCAAGACGTACACAATGGGGCAGCCTACCAAACATGTGCCGAATTCGAAGCCCCCGTGCCCGTGTTCCCGCCCGGCGGTGTCCGACGCCGCGTTGGCACCCGCATGCCGTTGAAGCACTGCTGGGAGCAGAGTTCCAGCACGCTCTGCGCTTGGGCCCAGGCGCATCCGCCTCCAATGGTCCATTTCGATCCGATCGATGCGATTCGATATCTGTTCTGTCCACAAAATTTCCGATACCCCGGCGGCCCGACGCAGCCCGAGGCGTGCACGGCTCTGCTGTGTGCATATGAAGGTGCGGCCGATCCGATGCGATTTCGCCTCCGTGCCGCTGCGGCCCGATCCGACGCACATCCCGATCCGATCAGACTTCCCGAGTGGATGCTGGCGATCGCAAACATGGATCAAGGGGGCGTGGATTGGTGACGGGTCCCGTTTCTATCGGCATTTTGGGGAGGGCACCTCCCCCGATCCGTGGATGCGGCAACCGCGCGCCTTAATCCATCGATCGCCAATCCATGTCTGCGCGCCCCCGATTCGATGCTGGCCGATCCTGCCTCCCCCATCGAGGGCCACGCGAAGGAGGCCTCTCCTGCTGTGCAGCCCGAGGGTGCCTGCTCCTGGGCAGACCCTCGGGGAGCCTCCGCCTCCCCAGGAAAAACCGCGAGGGGCCAGGGAGGGCCCCCCGGCCGACGCCCTGGCGCCCCTCGGGAGCTCAAACCCCGGCACAGCAAGCCCAGACAGGCCGCGCGCGTCTGGCCCCAGGTTTCCCGTCTGCTCCTTCCCCAGACCCCCTCGGGCGAGGAAAGAATCATGGCGGGAGGTGGTTCGCTATTTTCGGCCTCTGCCGGCCCTTACCGGGCCTCGGGACCGTCAGAAAACGATCCAGGGTGAAAAACCGGTCCCGGGGAATGGGTCGAGGAATCGGAAAGAGCGCGTTCTGTGGTTGCTTGGAGAGGGGAGGGGGGGTTCGAACCCCCCACCCCCCCCTCCCATGACTCGTGACGGAGGGGGGGGGGTCCAACCACCCCTACTGTTCTTCTCTCCTTTTCTCGGGTCAGCGCCTGCGTCGGCGGCGGCTGGCGGCGGCGGCGGGGGCGACGACTTCCTTTTCTGGGCCGGCGCCGGCGCCTACGGCGGCGGGTGGCGGCGGCGGGGAGCGTCGACGAGGACGACGGCGACGACGATGACGACGACGACAACGACGAAGACGCTCCGCCAGCGTGCCTTGGTTTTGGGTCAGAGTCCTAAATGCCTCTTGGGGTCTCGTCGGAGGGCTTTCGGGGGCCTCTGAAGGGCATTTGTGAAGCCTCCTGGGCGGCTCTTGGGCGTCTCTTGGGGCCTCTCTAAGGTGGTGGTGGTGGTGGTGGTGGTGGTGGTGGTGGTGGTGGTGGTGGTGGTGGTGGTGGTGGGCTGTGGTGGTGGTGGAGGTGGAGGCGGTGGTGGTGGTGGCTACGGTGGTGGTGGTGTGGTGGTTGGTGGTGGTGGCGGTGGTGGTTGTTGTGGTTGTGGTGGCATGTCGTGGTGGTGGTTGTGGTGGTGGTGGTGGCGGTCGTGGTGGTGGTGGTGCGGTGGTTTCTGGTGGTGGTGATGGTAATTGTGGTGGTGGTGGGTTAAGGTGGTGGTGGTGGTGGCGGTGGTGGTTGCGGTGGTGGTGTGGTGGTTAGTCGTGGTGGTTGTGGTGGTGGTAGTGAATTTGGTGGTGGTGGGTTGTGGTGGTGATGGTGGTGGCGGTGCTGTTGGATGTGGTGGTTGTGGTGGTGGTTTGTTGTTGTGGTGGTGGTTGTGGTGGTGCTGGTGCTGGTGGTGGTGGTGATCGTGGTGGTGGTGTGGTGGTTTGTGGTGGTGGTGGCGGTAGGTTGTGGTGGTGGTGGTAGTGGCGGTTGTTGTGGTTGTGGTGGTGGTGCTGGAGTGGTGGTTTGTTGTGGTGGTGGTGGTGGTGGTTGATGGTGGTGATGGTGGGTTAAGGTGGTGGTGGTGGCTGTGGTGGTGGTGGTTGTGTAGTGGTTTGGTGGTTGCGGTGTTGGGTTGAGGTGGTGGTGGTGGTATTGGTTGTGGCGGTGGTGGTGGTGGCATGGAAGTTTGTGGTGGTGGTGGTGCTGCTGGTGGCGGTGCTGGTGGTGGTGGTGGGTGGTAGCAGGTGGGTGGTGGTGGTGGTGGTGGTAGTGGTGGTGGTTGTGGTGGTGGTGTGGTGGTTTGCCGTGGTGGTGATGGTGGGTTGTGGTGATGGTGGTGGTGGTGGCGGTGGCGGTGATGGTGCGGGTGATGGTGTGGTGGTTTTTGGTGGTGGTTGTGGTTGTAGTGGGTTGTGGTGGGTTGTGGTGGTGCTGGTGGCGGTGGCGTTTTGGGCGGTGGTTGTACAGTGGTTTGTGGTGATGGTGGTGATTGTGGTGGCGGTGGGTTGTGGTGGTGGTGGTGGTGGTTGCAGTGGTGGTGGTGTTGTGGTTTGTGGTGGTGGTGGTTGTGGTGGTGTGGCCTTCGGCTCTTCCCGCTATCGTGTTTTGGCTTTGGGTCAGAGCTCGAATGAATGCCTCATGAGGTCTCGTCAGAGAAGGGCCTCAGGGGCGTCTGAGGAGCACTTGTGAAGCCTCATGGACCTTCCTAAGGGCCTCTCGGTGGCTCTGGGGGGCGAGGGCTCGATATGGCGATTTGTGTGTTCCCTCTGCGGCCTTTGGGCCCCCTCCGGTACCCGTCGCTGCGTCCCTGCCGTCGGCGCTGCTGCCGCCAGCGTCGGCGCCGGCGCCAGCGCGGGGGAGGTGGGGGGGTTTGGAACCCACCCCCTCCCCTCCCCTGGGACCCTCTGGTCATCGTCGCTGCGTCCCCGCCGTCGGCGCTGCTGGCGGCCGCCTGCGCCTGCGCTGGCGCCGGGGGGGGGGGCTTTGGAACCCCTCACCCCCGCCTGGGAGGAGATGGGGGGGACGGGGTTCGGGAGGGCGGGGGGTAGGGGGGAGGGGAGTCCTCCTGGTTCTGATCGACGGCGCCGAGTGTTGGGGGGGGGGCCCACCCCCTGGTTCGAAACGCGCCGCCGAACTCCCCAAGGCAAGCGCCCGTGAAACGCGCTCTCTGGACCTCCAGGGTCGACGTTCTGGAAAAAACATGAAGTCGAGGGCCTGGGCCCCTCGATACGATCGAAATAGGAAATGGGTACGGAAAGGATGGCTGCGAAGACCGACAGCAGTTCTTCAACCCAAAAAGTTCGCCAGCGTGGATTCCAAACGGTGAGTTTCTAGCAGGAGATGCGGCGCAGTAATTGTGGTGCAATCGACCTTGTGCATTATTTGTAGAGCAAGCTGTGTGGTGCAATCTACGTGATGCAGTTCATCCTGCCGAGCTTGCCGGCAGCGTGCAAGATAGAGAGCCAGTGAGCGAACCTGGCTGGAAGGCACAATCACTGTCGCGGCACGTGCGCACGCCGGGCACGGTCTGCGCCGGGCCCCCGCGAACAGTGCCCTGCTCTTGGCTGCCACAGGGAGCCAGAGCGAGGAGATCGTCTCTGAGTTGTTCCCCGTCCTGTGGAGTATCCATTGCCGGGTAGCCCCGACTCGAGCAGGACCCGTGTGCGCCCGCCGCCGCCATCTCGGCTCAAGCGTGCACGCGAAGATCACACAGTAAATGGCGGAAAGAGAGCCCTTTTCTTTTCCACAGCCGCCGTTTCTGTTTCCACTGCTAATCCCGCAATTCCAGTCGGTCCTCCTCCTCCTCCTCCTCGGTCCTCCTCCTCGGTCCTCCTCCTCATCGGTCCTCCTCCTCCTCGGTCGTCCTCCTCCTCCTCCTCCTCCTCCTCCTCCTCCTCCTCCTCCTCCTCCTCCTCGGTCCTCCTCCTCGGTCCTCCTCCTCAGTCCTCCTCCTCGGCCCTCCTCCTCCTCCTCCTCCTCCTCCTCATCCTCCTCCTCCTCCCTCCTCCTCCTCCTCCTCCCTCCTCCTCCTCCTCCTCCTCCTCCTCCTCCTCCTCCTCCTCCTCCTCCTCCTCCTCCTCCTATCTCCTCCTCCTCCTCCTCCTCCTCCTCCTCCTCCTCCTCCTCCTCCTCCTCCTCCTCCTCCTCCTATCTCCTCTTCCTCCTCTTCCTCCTGCCTCGGTTCACTTCGGCTCTCGTCGACCCTCGTCTTCGAGGGGGCACCCTGCGCCAGGGGCACCTTTCTGGCAACCCAACGGCCCGGGCCCAGGCTTAAGTCGGGCCTGTCCCTCTACAGGAGGAACATTCAAAAATAATCAAAAAATAATCCGGGGACGATCCTTCTACTATTTTCTAGTATGCTTCCATGCGTTTTCATCCTATTCCACTGCTCACCCGAAATCCGCCTGCAGGAGGACATGCCCGACCTGAGCCAAGGCCGGCTCCCCCCTCCCGCGAGGAGAGCCGCCCGCCGCAGCCCCCGCGGTGCTCGCCCGAGCGGCCGCGGACGGTGTGGCGCAGCCGCTGAAGGCCGCCGAGGGCCTCGAGGGCGAGCGAGAGACTGCAGAGATGCACGCTGGCGGAGCCCCGCGCGGACGTGCTGCGTCGGCGCTCGGGCCCGCGCCTCCGGCGGCCCCGCGCGCGGACCCGAGAAAGCTGCGCGGGACTCCGAAAGTTGAAGGTGTCTGTGCCGTCCTCTCTGTTCCTCGAGAGTCAGGAGGGGGAAACAAAAACAGACGCATGCAATCGTCGACTCCCAGGGAAGCGTATGGAAAAATGTGGGAGGTGGGGGGGAAGACAAAAAAAACTAGAGAACAGATTGGAACATTTGGGGAATCCTGGGCCTTTTCTGTGTATTTACTGGTGTGCCCCAGGGCCCCTTCGGAGAGTGCGGGCTCGGCCGGTCTCGGCCGGCCGCAGAAGGCCCCGCAGGCGCGCTCGGCCGGTAGCGGCGGTCTCGGGCGAGGCTCCAGGCCCCCTCGAGTGCTGAAAAGTCGCGGCGGCGGTCGGCTCGCTATGCTCGGAAGCTGGTGTTCGGACACTTTGTTCTTTTCTGATGATTCGAAAGTTCCTTGATCTTTGGGGGGCCAAGATCCTCTCACTTCTAATGTTTCAATCCTGGGCATCTTCCTGGCCACTAGGGGGCCAGGAACACTTAGAAACGAGCACACTCAGAAGTGAGCACGATTAGAAATGAACGACGTGTATGTTCGAAAGCTGGTGGCCCTCACCAGGCCTAGGGACCGTCAGAAAGCGATTCGGGATGACAGACCGGTCCCGTTGAAGAGGTCGAGGCTCTTGCGGTCGACGTTCTGCGAAATAATCATGGCGTCGGGGGTCTGGCGTTCGAGGCCTTCCAGATGGGGTCCGAGTAGACGGGGTCGGAGGATCGCGCCGCATCGCCGATGCCTCGGCGATGCGGCTCGATGTGGAGCCCGATGTTCTCCACGCCGACGCCGCTCATGCATCCCCGATGCATCGGCGATGCATGAGCGGTCCTCCGAGCCCGCTTTACTCGGACCTGCAGCCGAGGACCGCGGCGGGCGGCGAGGGCGCGCTCGGCCAGTCTCGGCTGGCCGCTCGGGCACTTCAGGCCCAGATCTCCTGGGCCACGCGCAGGGAGGGGGTAGGGGGAGGGGGGAAGGCTTCTCAGACGCACCCCTGCTTCTTGGAAGGTGTCGGCCTCATCTGTGAAAGGGAGGCCCGCGTCTTCTAAGGAGCAGCCCCTTTCCCAGAAGCCTTCCCCCTCCCCCGTTACCCCCCTCTGCGAGCCGCCAATCTCCGACTGCCCGATGTCTCTGGCCGTCCCGGCGCTTCTCGGCAGTGCCCCCCCTTTGGGGGCCTGTGCTTCTCGTCGCGCGCTCGGCCTCCGGGGGGGGGGCCGCCGCCAGGCCCCACGGGGCCGTCCAAAAAATCGGCGCAGTTCGAACGGCCGGCCTCGAGGAGCGGGTCGGGAATTCGGGGGGGGGGGGGGGGGGGGGGGGGGGGGGGCGCATGGAAAAAAAAGTCCAGGCGTCGGGCGTCCATCAGGCGATCGCAAACGTGGATCAAGGGGGCGTGGATTCGCGACGCGTCCCGTTTCCATGGGAGGTCGCGGGTTTCCGCCGCTGGACCAGGCGGCACGGGCCGCGCTTTGGCGCCAAATCCATGGATCGCTAATCCACGTCTGCGCAAACCCCGAGTCCAAGACTCCGATCTCACGGCACTTTTTCGTCCGTTCCGGCCGGGGCCTTGGATTGGGCCTTCTTGAGACCATCAGACATGGATCTGGGGCGAGAAGTTGCCCCCAGGGAAGGAAGGGGTCGAGGGCTCCGGGCCCGTGGGTGGAAATGTCAAGTCGGAGAATGACAGGGTCCGCGGGGAGGAAAACAAAGATACCGATGCGGGAGCTCGTCCTGGAGAGCCCTCCTGGCTACCGCTGGATCCTCCTCGAGATGCTGGTCAGGACGCGCCCCTCCTCCTCGTCCTCCTCCTCCTCCTCCCTCCTCCTCCTCCTCCTCCTCCTCCTCCTCCTCCTCCTCCTCCTCCTCCTCCTCCATTCTTTTTCCGTATACAGAACTTCTCCCCCAGGCAAGTTTTTAGGGCGGGATGGGAGTTTCGCCTCAGACTTCCTCACCATTTAAGACTCTGAAGCTTAAACATGACAACAGCTTCACACATGGAGGGCCGGTGGTTTTCAAAATGTGGCTCTCGCCTCCGCACCGCGCACATTCGTTTGAAACATTTCGCAAGAGCTTCACGGATTGAGGGCGGGTCGTTTTCAACATGTGGATCTCGCCTTAGCGCCGCGCACATTCGTTTAAAAAACATCGCAAGGGTTTCACAGATTGAGGGCGGGTCGTTTTCAAAATGTGGTTCTCGCATTAGTGTCGCGCACATTCGTTTTTAACAATTTGCAAGAGCTTCACGGATTGAGGGCGGGTCGTTTAATTCGCAGGAGCTTCACGGATTGAGGGCGGGTAGTTTTCAAAATGTGGATCTCGCTTGCGCGCCGCGCACATTCGCTATTCCCAACCATCCTGTGGTGTTGGGTCCTCGTTTTGAAGAGACGGTCCCCGCGTTCCTTTTCTCCTCTCCTCCTCCTCCCCCTCCTCCCCTCCCTCCTCCTTCTTCCATGCGTTTCCCCTGTCGATTTATCGCAGAGGTGCCTGGCGTGCCGAATCCTCTCGGTTTTGGTTTTTGGTTCTTTGTCCAAAAGAACTCCCCCTGGGGCTTCGGCCCGTCCCGCCGGCCACCCAGAAGGCGCAGAATTCCCCAATGTCCTACCCAAGACGGCTCCAAAAACGGCCGTTTCGCTCGGGACATCCTCAAACAAATCGCGAAGATGGCCCAAGATGGCCTCCAAGTCCGCCCAAGATGGCCCAAGACGGTTTCCAAGACGGCCCAAGAGAGTCCAAGACGGCCCAAGACGGCTTAAGAGGTCCCCCAGAGGCCTCCCAGACGGACCAAGAGGCTTCCAAGAGGTCCTCCAGGAGGGCCCGAAGAGGCCAAAGTCATTGATTGTCCTTAGGTTTTTGAAGGATTTTGGCATTTGCGCCTTTTCGGCTTTCCGACGGCTCAAGACGGCCCAAGAAGCCCCCAAGATCGCCCAAGAGGCCCCCAAGAGGGCCCCATGACGGCCCAAGTGGCCTCCAAGATGGCCCCAAGAGGGCCCCAAGACGGCCCAAGAGGCCTCCAACACGCCCAAGATGGCCTCCAAGACGCCCAAGATGGCCTCCAAGACGGCCCTGGAGCATTCCAAGAGGGCCCCAAGTCGGCCCATAGAGGCCCCCAAAACGGCTTCCGACGGCGTCAGACGTGCCAGGAAACCACCAAGATGGCCGAAGTTGGCTCGAAGCTGGCCCAAGACGGCCCGAGAGGCCCCCAAGAGGGCCTCCAGGAAGGCCAGAAGAGGCCAAAAACATTGATTTGAGGTTTCTGACGGATTCTGACATTTCCTTCTGTTCGGCTTTCCGACGGCCCGAGACGGCCCAAGAGCCCCCAAAGATCGCCGAAAGCTTGCCCAAGAGGCCTCCAAGACGGCCAAGATGACCTTCAAGATCTTTCCAAACCGATTCGGGGAACACATGGTCCGATGGCTTGGCAGGTCTGGCCTCAACGTTCGGCCACATAGGCGCTTCCACAAAGGCAGGGGGCGGCGGTGATTCGCCGTAGGCGTCTTCGATTCCCAACCATCCTGTGGTGTTGGGTCCTCGTTTTGAAGAGACGGTCCCCGCGTTCCTCTTCTCCTCTCCTCCTCCCCCTCCTCCCCTCCCTCCTCCTTCTTCCATGCGTTTCACCCACCCAGCACAGCGTTTCGTGACCCCATTGGGAGCTCCACCGAAGCCCCCAGTGGGACCGCCCGCATGCGTCCGCCACCACCCAGCACAGCCCTTGCTCCCTGCGTTTCACCCACCCATTACAGCGCTTCGTGGCCCCATAGGGAGCTCCACGGAAGGTCCCAGTGGCACCGCCCGCATGCGTCCGCCACCACCCAACACGGCCCTTGCTCCCTGCGTTTCACCCACCCAGTACACCGTTTCGTGGCCCCATAGGGGGCTCCACCGAAGGTCCCAGTCCGCCACCACCCAGTACAGCCCTTGCTCCCTGCGTTTCACCCACCCAGTAAAGTGCCCGAACTAGCGAGCGCTTCGATTTTGAACAGCTTCTCGAATTACCTTTGACGGGGCTCGTAGTCTTGATCTTCTCAAGATGCCGATGTGTCCAGGACGCCGCAGGTCTGGGGAGGGGCTCGCTCGGCCCCGGGCCGCCCGCGCCAGGGCCAGCCCGCGGCCTGTTGGCAGCCGCGCTGCCGAGGCAGCGCTGCGGGCCCGGCGGTGCGTGTGGGCGTGCTCGGCCCTCGGGCGTCGCGCAATGCCGGGGCAAGGGTAGGGGGCGGATAAGCGGGGGGGGCCTCGACCCGCAATCGCCCATTGATCGCCGATCGGCGCCCGAGAGCCCCAGAAATGAAATGCGCAGGAACGTGCGGATTCACTGGCGGGGGCCTATCGCCGCTCTATCGGCGATGTGTCGCCGATTCCAGGTCGATGTTCCCCCCCTTATCCCGATCCCCCCCGATCGTTACCCCTCAGCAAGGGGTGGGGCGATGAACGGGGTTGGAGCTAGCCGTCGCGCAGTGCTGGTTTTAAGTCGGGCATGTCCCTCTACTTACAGGAGGACTATCCAGAAACAGTCGAAACATAGTCTGGGGAGATGTTTGGACTACCTTTGACGATTGGGGCGAATCTTCTTGAGCATTTGATACTCTTCGTCCAGAATCCGCCTGTGGGAGGGCATGCCCGACCTGCGGCTGGAGCTGGCTGTCGCGCAGTGCTGGCTCCGGCGAGCGGGGGGGGGGGGCGGGGCAGGCTCGGGGTTCTCGGCTCCAGCAGGCCCTCTGCCTCCTCTGGCCTCCGCGGGGGCCGGGCCCTGCCTGGGCCCGTGGAGAAGGGAGCCCGGGGGTGCACACCTGCACCAGATGGACCCCGGGGGGTCCGGGGACCAATGTTGAGCGGACTTGGCCTCGTCCCCCCTCCACATTGGTTTTCAAGGGCGCCCTCGAGGGCGCGAAGTTATTCGCGCTTCGCGGTTCGGCTCCGATTCCTCCTCGTCCCCCTCTTCTCCCCTGGGAGGCGGCGCGAGAGCGCGAAGTTATTCGCACTTCGCGCTTCGCGCAGCGCGAAGCGCGAAGTTGGGAGCCCTTAGGTTTTCGGGGGTCCCAGCCAGCTCAGACTCCCCGGCCGCCTGCGACCCGACAAGGCCTCAGCGCCGAGGATCGAGGGAGCCGGCATCCCTCTCTCGGCGGAAGGTCGGCGGAAGCTGGCGGAGACGAAGCGAAAGCGGCTCCGCCGTCGGAAGGCAGCGGAAACAAAAGATGCGCCCCCAAGGGATGGCAACATGCTTGGGTTCAGGGTTTCCACAGCCTGTCAAGTCTGGGCCCTCTAGGTTCTATACTGCCTCTTGGCCCCCCGTGTATTCCAGACCTCCGACATCATGATTTGTGCATGACGTCGACCCCCAGAGGTCTCATTCCCCAGGACCGGGCTTTCATCCCGAGGCGGTTTTTGATTGCCCCGTGGCCCGGCAAAGGGCCCCCCAGAGACCGAAACTGGCGAGAGAGCGTCCGTCGTTATTTGTTCATGGCGCGAGGGTGGCGCCCCTCGCACCTACACCCGTGCCAACACGCCGCTTCCTCCTCCTCTTCCTCCTCCTTCTCCTCCTCCTCCCCCTCCTCCTCTTCAGCCGTGTCGGCCCAGGGGTTCTGGGCTTGCCCGAGTGTGCATCGACGCGGCTCGCTCGGGCGGGCCACGGATGGCGGGAAGCATCCTTCTTGGCCGTGTGGGAGTTGTGCGGGGGTGTATGACACGGCGTTCGCCAACTATGCCTTCCGCGACCACGGCCTGCGCTGCGGCAAGCAGGCGCCAAGAGGAGTGCTCGATAAGCAGAACAAACAATCAGGACAAGATGGCTTGCAAAAGGCTCCATGGCACAACAAGAACAGGTGGGATGACGGTCCACCTGCTTCGCTACGGATACAACGCCGAGACGAGCAAGAGCAGCCACCAGTGCCAGCCCCATTTGATCAGGCAACGGCGAAAACAATGCTTGAGACAATGGCCAAGGCGCACGGAGATGACAGATCACAGCGGCCTGGACAGGCGCAGAGTAAGGTGCAGGCCTGGGACAAAGCATTGGTGGACAAGCAGGCTGAGCACCAGCCGGCGGACATCACCAAGCTCAGTTCCTTCCAGCTGGGACAGCGCCTGGAGGACACCAAGAAGAAGATCAGCAAGTCTGAGGAGCGGCTCAAGGAGCGCGAGGAAGAATACCAGCGGGCTCTGGAAAGCAGCGACGCTGAGCAGCAGATCCTGGACAACCACAAGTTCAAAAGCAACAGCTCGAGAAGGCGAAGACTGAGGCCTTCCTTCGCGAGCAAGCCAGTGGAGCAGAGCATCCCGCACTGCAGCTCTTCGGCAAGGTCGTGGAGGTCCAGCGCGAAGCGGGTGACAGCGATGTGCCAGAGTGTCTTCGAGCCCCGCTGCAAACCTTGCAGCAGGCGATCGAGGTGCACAACCAGCAGCTAAAGAAGCAGGAGGAAAAAGCTGCGGGCGCGAACGTTCAGCAACAACATAATGTTCCTGCTGCCAGTGATGGCGCAGCGAATATACCAATGGTTATTCCAGATGAAGTCCCAGCCCCTGATGATGAAGACCTGGAAGTGATCGTCGCGGACCACGGCCTCAAGCTCGATGGAGACTTGGAGGAGGACGAGGTCAAGCGCATCACGGAGGCCAGAAAAGAGATTGCGGCATCAGTTTGCAGCAGCCGCTGAAACAGCGAAGCGGAGAAAGGTGCGCACCCCAGCTGCTACTGAGGGGGCCTCAGCCTGAGGCACCTGCGTATGCGAGCAGCTGGGGCCAAGTACTACAGACAGTGGACGACGTCAAGTCCGCGGCGCAGCAGATGTGTTCGAGTGAGAATACATCGTCAGAAGAGCTGCGTCAGCAGGCCCATTTCCTGGATTGCCTCAACAGCCTTGGATCAGCTCTGGCCAGGTGGAGTGCCACATCACTGGGGACTACGATGAGCACAACGACAACTACGCGCAGCGAAGTACCAGCTGGATTGTACTCAGTGGCGCCCGCGGGCCCTCCGTGCGCCACGGGCCCTCGCGCCGCTGACGGCCCCGCCGCGGGCGGAGGAGTCGCTGTCGGCGCTCGGCTAGGAGAGCGCGCCGCTGCAGGTGAAGGCGCAGCGCGGGCGGGGCCGCCGATGACAGGAGGGGTGGCCAATTGCGACCGCCCCACGGAGGTGGACCAGCTCGGCATGGATCGCATGCCGCAGTCACAGGAGGGACTCGGAGAGGCACGCCAGAGCGGGCCCCGAGTTCAGGCGGAGCCAGGCTGCTCGCGGCCCGAGCGGCAGGCCCAGCGCTGCCACGTCGCGGAGGAAGCGCTGCTCGAGGCGCCACACGAGGTTTCGACTGGGACGCAACTCGGAGCCGTCGGCCCCCTCGGAGGGCCGACTGGGGCTGGGAGCGGACCGTCGCCCCATCGAGGAGCTGACTGGGACTCCGCTCGGAACAGTCGCCCCCTTCGGAGGGTCGGTCGGGGCTGAGCGCGAGACCGTCGGTCGCTGCGGGCGCCAGAGCGGACACCGAGATGGGGCGACGCAGAGGAGTCAGAAGCCAGGAGCTTGCCGAAGGCGTGGTGCGAGTCCCTCTACATCAACGCGGCCGGACCAGGCGACGACCACGAAGATAAGAACTTGGAGAATAGCAATTGCCAACATTACTTCCGCGCAGAGGGAAGCGGCGAAGCCATCCATTATTGCCGGCGAGGTTGCTGAGCAGGACTTTCAAGCGGATGCACTTCTTACCCATGAACACAAGTTGCTCAAGCAGGCGGTCGGGGACAAGATTGCCGGGCTAAAGCACAGGGGGCTGGCATGTCGCCATTGCGCCTGCCAAGGAGGGACAGACGCAACACTCAGCCTCATCTGGTGCGGCAGTTGGAGTTCGGCAGGACACCGGCTCGACAGATCCGCCAGACTCTGGAGGTGCTACATCGCCGCGTTCGCGGTGGGTTACGCAGCGGGTTGATGGCATGATACCTGGTGGTTTTACTCTTGCTTCGATACAACTCATATCTGGCGACTACCACAAAGACGCGGAGGACAGAGACCGGCAGATCATCTTGCAGTGCTTTGAGCAGCTCAAGCGCGCGGGGCGACCTTTCATCATAGGCGGGGATTGGAGCATGAGCCCACATGAGCTGGGGGATCTTAACGTCCTGAACGGCATGCCAGCTACAACTGCAGCTCCCGTCGAGTGGACTTCCTCTGCGGGAAGGGGACGCGCCCTTGATTTCTTTGCGGGTTCGAAGAATTTCAAGAGTATCACTGGGATGCGGAGGTCGGAAGGCCCCAGCATGGCGACGCACTGGGCTGTCTTGCTCGAGATGGAAGCAGGGCCTGGAGCAGCGATGGAGCAGTAGATCGTCGCGCCGAAGAAGTTCCCCAAGGAGCGCCCTCTCGGCGCCCCGAGGGCGCCACCTTCGTACGAGCGAGTGAAGCTGGAGTGCGAGCATGCGAGAAGTGCACAAGATCTAGATTGGTGCCACACAAAATGGACGCAGCTGGCTGCGCAGGAGCTAGCTGACAGATATCATCTTGAGGATCACAAACGCAGGGCCGCAGCAGGGCGCGGAAAGCTAGGCGACCCGCAGCTCAAGTTGGCAGTCTCGGCAAGGAAAGCACCAGGTCGAGGAGGGGGGGGGGGGGGGGGGGCATCCAATCTCGAGGAGCTGGAGGAGAGCATCCATGGCCATCCAGGACATCATTCACGCCTGCAAGAGAGAGAGAGACTGGGATTTGGATTCGCAATGCGCCACGCAGCGCACGCGCACACTGGAGAAGTTAAAGAAGAAGAATCTCCACACAGGAAGCGCTTGGCTTATCTTCTGGTACAGACTGGAGCATGAGTGGTGTTGGGAGGATGATTAGCTTCGGGATCGCAGTCGGTTTGCAACGCAAGAAGCGACCAATGTTGACTCGCAGCAACGCGCTCGAGAGTGTCGACAGGCAGTTGCAAAGTCCATTGAGCAGGAGGACGCCAAGTCGCACCGATGGAGTAAGCGACCAACAAGGTGGGCACAAGCTGAGGCACACCCCACTGTGGGCACCAAGTCACACGCGACGACGCTCGGCACGGACCTTCAGCTGTGGCTCCAGATCTGGAATCACGATCCGGACGCAGACGCCCTGGGCGCAGGTCTGCGCTTGCAGGAGGTCGAGGATGAGGAGGTGCAGGAAAGTTGCGCTGCCCCTCAGGAACAAGACGGCCTCTGGAATCGACAACCTGGGGCCCAGGAATATGGCGCTGCTTTGAGATGGCT